CATATATTTAGATTTAGATTGTAGCATTGTATACTTTCTTTCCCACCTAATATAACACATGTATATATAGATATGATTTTTTTTTCCGTTTTTAATTAAAAGTTATAAGAATCTTGATATAAAAAAGAAATTTATTGTGGAGCAATCACATGGATTTTAAAGAGACTTATACAAGGTGACCCGTTAATAAATATCATATTGTTATGATAACATAGTATATTAAAAATAATAATATATCTATTTTACATTACAAAACAAGACTAAATATAAAAGAACCAAACTATAAATATAATATTTTTATGGTATCTTGATCGGACCTTAAATCTTGAAGTTTGTAGAAAACAACTCAAACCATATAATTATATTGTAAACAAATAATTTTATGACTTATGTACGTGGTGACGACGTGGTCTACTAATGATCCTAATTATATGGTTGATTTGCAATTTTTAATATTGCCTCGATCGGATTTAGTGAACTAATCAATAAACTATTGCTATTAATAATAATAATAAAAAGTTATTAAGTGTGTCTGTTATAATCATGCAACATAAATTTTTAAATATATCTGGAGCCTAAGCACGTGTAATGATGATTAAAATATTTTAACCTTTTTAGGGTACGGTCAAACTCTTTTCCTTTGATCAAAGTCAAAAATAGTTTTATAATTCTAATTTATTTGGTTTTATGTGAGCCATGTTGATTTCACTCTTCTCTAAAATATTTATTAATGATTTATTTTATAAAATTAATCTTATTGATTACACATGTAAAAACCAAATTTTGACTATTAACATCTATATAGTTGTTTGATTTCTTAATTTGCTAAAATATATAATTATTTTTTCAATATAAGAATCAAATAAAATAAAATAATTTTTTTTTCTAGAGTCAAGTAATTATCAGTGGCGGATTTTCTATAAATACCAAAATTAACTGACTGGATTCTTAATTTGTCTCCATTCAAGGGAAGTTAATTGTCATGATCCAAGATTCCTCTCTTGAGAGAATATCACAAAATCATTATTCTCAGAAAAATAAAATTTTGCATGAATTTATTAATATGGTAAATGTCATTATTAAAAAATCATTATTTTTCATTAAAATTATCACTGAAATATATTCAATGGCTATATATTTCGATAAATATTTTGAGTGGATCAATAAAAAAGAAAAAATAGTTATATTTTCACATGATAATTTAAAAAAATTCTCAATATTTTCAATTCCTCATCATTTATTTTTTAGCGAGATGGTTTATTGAAAATACTAAGGATAAGTTATTTTATTATCATTAATCATAACATATTTAACCAATTAATTTTGAATGTAGCTTAGTGAGCTGATTAATTGAAAAATATCAAGGATAAGTTATTTTTATTGTCATTAGTCGTAACATATTTAACCAATTTTAAATATAGCTTAGTGAGCTGATTCATTGAAAAATATCAGGAGTAAGTTGTTTTTATTTTCATAAGTCGTAACATATTTAACTAATTTTAAATATAACTTAGTGACATGATTCGTTAAATAATGTCAAAGATAAATTGTTTATATTATCATAAATCATAAAATATTAAACCAATGATGGATGTAGCTTAGTGAGCTCGTTAAAGGATAAGTTGTTTGTATTGGAACATTAGTCATAACATATTTAACCTATAGTGAATATAGTTTAGTATAGACTATAAACTCGATCAAATACTATGTATATTTTTCAATAAAAAACATAGATATATATGTAGGGAAGTTGAAAAAATATTATATGTTATCTATAATACAAAAATGTGAATTTAACTTTGCATCATTAATTTCACATATATGTCATCCAACTTTAGATATATATAGGTAGACTCTTAAACTTATACAAAGTCGATCAAATAAATATACTAGCCCTATGTGACATTATACATGTAGAACACAAATTATTATGTAGGATGTTATGTTAGACGCATGTGTCAATTTATTCAAATTTATATAACTTTAAATGTCTACTTGTAAACATTCAAAGTTGGATAGCATAAAGGTATAAATTGAGACTATATTAAATAACATATTTATATATTATACCATTTAAAAGTATAGTAAATTATAATTATGCCCAATTTGAAAAATTTAGGTCGAAAGTACTCATCAAAGATATAGGACCACTTTTGTTTTCCTCCCCCACTCCTAAGTCCTACCAACTAAGTTATTATAAGTAACTAAAGATGTTTCGCAACTCCTTTTTAACTTTCACTTCCTACCAACTCAATCCTCATATCTCCATGCCCTACCAAACCAATAAATCAATTATTTTTCGGTTTTAGTTTGATTGTCCTGTTTTAATTAAATATAAGTTTAAAAAAAAAGTTTTTAATTTTTAATTTAAAATTAAA